CTAGCTTTGTCCCCTTCCTGACAGTCCTTACAGAGATACTCTCATAAGGCTGTCTAAAAGTTGACAAAATATTTTATAATTGCGTGTCCAGAACAGTACCTGTTTCCATCTACTGCTTAATCCTTCTCAGCAGGCAGTGTCAACCATTTTTGAGTGAATGTCACTTTTATGCTAGCCACTAAGGGAGTGATAAAGTGAAATATTATTTTGCCCATACTCTTGAAGTTCAGAATCTAACTGGGGTGGGAAAGTGTCTACACTTGTAAAGTAAGACAGGACTTAAAAAGATCAAGATGATACGTATGAAATGTCTTGAACGTTGAATAATCAATTGCTGAATGAAGTCTAAGTGACAGAAATGAAAATTAGTTCACCAAAGCAGAGAGTGAGTACGTTTATCAGGAAAAGTGTACCAATGTGCTACGTGAAGCCCTGCTAGGAATATATTTTAGCGCCAGGAGATTTGCAGAGAGGAGTAACAAAGCCTTATCTTGCGGAGGAGAGACTATACATGCTTATGGTAAAGGCAGTGAGAGGACTTGCTGTGAAGAAGTATCAAATGCAGGGATTCGGAGAGCGATCATAGGCATTTGGGGAAATCAAGAAAATGTTTATAGGGAACTCATCACGATGGAGCTTGAAAGATAAATAATAAAAAGCACAAAAGGATAACACAGTGGAAGACTCTAGTACAGGCGTTGGCAAACTGCAGCCCTCAGCTAACCACCTATTTTTGTGAATAAAATTTTAGTGGAACATAGCCATACCCACTCACTCATGCACTGTCTATGACCGCTTTCAGACTGTAGTGGCAGAGCTGAGCAGTTGAAACAGACCACATGTTCTGCAAAGCCTAAAATATTTATTGTCTGGTCCTTTACAGAACGTGTGTTGCTCCTTCCAAGTAGATAGTCTATAGATGGGAAAGCATTACTGATAACTATCAAAGAAATGAAAATGATATATTATAGCTGGAGGAGGGAGTCAATAATAGAAGGGTGGGTGGTTAAAGAGGCGGTTAGCCTTAAAGGAATTTAATAGGGAGACCATTATTAATAAAGAAGTGAAGGGCCTCTATAGGCTGGGACAGTAGTTCAGTTAGGTGCAGATGTGGCTTTGCCCTTAATCATACTTTTTTAATCTTTTCCCCACTGTAGCCAAGAAGGATCAGGAAGGTGGAGAAGAAAAGAAATCTGTGCAAAAGAAAAAAGTGAAAGAGTTGAAAGTGTTGGATTCAAAGACGGCCCAGAATCTCTGTGAGTAACTCGGTGATACCAGTGATCTGAAATATGAAGGACTTCTTCTAAGAGCTTAATTCTAGTGGATCCAGGGTCCTCGACATGAAACTTTTATTTGTTGAGTTCCTCCCATAGGCCTGGCTTTGCATAGTGAATTTCTGATATCTTGTCCAGTCCCTTAAATAGCACTGCAGGATTGTTAGTATCTAGTTTTATGGCAAGGAGATAAAGGCTGGGGCTTTCTGGAATTTGCCTAGTC